CCCTGGACAATGTCAGCCCCGACAACGTCATCTATGACAACCGACACAAACAGTTCGGGGAACACGCCTGTCCCCACTGTACCTTCACCTGCCAGGCCGTCCTTGAACTTGACGTTCACTTGGAGGCGGAACATTACATGCATGACCCGTTTCCCTGTAAGTTCTGCCCGACCCGTTTTGATAAGTACACTAAGTTACAAAGGCACGTGTCTGCGGCCCACCCTGAGAAGAGGTACGGCTGTAGTGTGTGTGGGAAGCTGTTCAAGTATTACTACACCATGAAGGAACACGAGAAGATTCACACTGAGGAGAAGGCCTGGCTCTGTGACTTCTGTGGAAAGGGATTCTCACTACAGGTAAATTTACTTAGCTTTGCTTGTAGTACATAAATGCATAGCCGAAGCATGTATTATTTGAATAGTGATATTCTTCCTAGTAAAATGAGTTGTTTAAGAATGTAAAAACCAGGTGTAAGTTTTGCTTGAAGGACTCTTGAATAACTAAACTTGAGTTTTATGCATTCAATAAATATTGAAATGAGTTTTTAAGGGTTTGTTTTTTCCTGTTTCATCTTCAAACCTGTTATTATTTTCTTTGTAGAAATATCTGATTAAACACAGAGAGAGGCATGACGCTATTCCAGTGGATGAGAGTGGAAGTCATAAGTGTAAATACTGTGAAAAGAGCTTCACAGAGGTCAAGTAAGTCACATGATACACAAAGGTCAGGTAAGTCACATGACACACAGAGGTCAAGTAAGTCACATGATTCACAGAGGTCAAGTAAGTCACATGACACACAGAGGTCAGGTAAGTCACATGACACAGAGGTCAAGTAAGTCACATGATACACAAAGGTCAAGTAAGTCACATGACACACAGAGGTCAAGTAAGTCACATGATACACAAAGGTCAAGTAAGTCACATGATACACAAAGGTCAAGTAAGTCACATGACACACAGAGGTCAAGTAAGTCACATGATTCACAGAGGTCAAGTAAGTCACATGATACTTAGAGGTCAAGTAAGTCACATGATTCACAGAGGTCAAGTAAGTCACATGATACACAGAGGTCAAGTAAGTCACATGATACACAGAGGTCATGTAAGTCACATGATACACAGAGGTCAAGTAAGTCACATGATTCACAGAGGTCAAGTAAGTCACATGGCACATAATTGTCACATGATTCAGGGGATGACAAATCCCATTGCCCAACGCCCGGGGCTAGTGAATTTTAGGGGTGGGCAAGTGGAATTTTATCCACCACTTGCCCGCGGGAAAGTGACTTATCAAAATAGAATTTATTTGTAGGCCATAAATTTAAAGCTGGGCATGGGGGCTTGCTCAGCATTTGTCTTCCTCGTTTTTCATATATCTATAAATTAGTGTTGGAAAATTGGACGATTTTTAGTAACCGGTTACTCGCTTCATCTTTCGATCGAGTACCAGGTTACTCGTATGATTTTTGGTAAAAGTATCAATATCTATTATTTATTTAATTTATTTTTCTATACTTATCGGTAGTAGTAATGCAGAAATATACTGTATAGGGACATTATATTTACAATATACACATACGATATCGTCAAAGATTTACGATTTTAAAATAAAAAAGATTAATAGGGAACTCGACACACAAGGACAAATAAATACGTCATCGTCAATCACCATTTTACACTTTCTTTTTTTTTTCAGCCCCCGAAATATGTCGCAATCAAGGAGAATATTATTTACATACTCTATAATCAATAGTTAATATGTGGAGTGTCCAGTAAATCGCTGCTTTTCGAATAATTTAAACTTAGGTTATTTAATAGATTTTGAATCAGCTGTTCTTTTGTCACAACTCCAAGTTTATTATGTCTGCGGCGGCATCTCGTTAAATTATCAAATGAGGTAATTATAACACAGGCCTTCAAAATATGTACAGTATACCCCAAGCAATCAAAGCTATTAATTATGTAAACTGTGAAAACTAATCAAAACAATTTGATTCACTACAACCATGCACTAGATCAAGTCTAACGGTACCTAAAATTAGGGAAATGTGTAAGTTAGTATACATTTATAAATTTAAAAAAAAAATTCATTTTCTATGCCTTTACTATGTAGAATTTATTTTATTCGAGTAACCGAATAGTAGTTTTACTAACCAGTACTCGCAACGTTCGACGGTTAACCGGGTACTCGTTGCCAACACTACTATAAATATAGAATTAGTTTATGGTAGGGCAAGCAAAAATTCAGGTAGGGCAAGTCAATTTTGACCATGTACTTGCCCTGGGACTAGTGCCTTAATAATCTATTTGTCAGCCCCTGTCATGATCAACTTAACTTGAAGTAAGTCCCATGACCAAGCTTTATAAGGGACAAGTACAATCATCATGGAGACAAGTGGTTATGATTTCATACTTGTCACCTGGGAGGGGTGATCACTTTTTATTGTCACCCTGAGATCAGCCATTTCTCTCAGTGCTCTATTTGTATCTGTGTTTTATTTGACTAGGTTGTACCAGATCCACATGCGAACCCACACAGAGGTACCAGACAGGATCCACCAGTGTAGTATGTGTCCTAAACGCTTCTTTAAGATCACCCACCTGAAACGCCACATCATGACCCACACCAAGATCAGGATGTACAAGTGTGACGTCTGTCCAAGGTCATACAAGGACAAGGTAAGTTGTTTTATAGATAGTGAGTACATTGAGGTTTATGAAGCATGGTCCAGTTAATTGACAAGTACATTTTGTATCTTGTTAATGTTGTTCAGCATTCATGATATTGTTTTAGAATAAAATATTGCGGTAATTACTGATGAATTTTCTAAGAAAGCATAATGATGTGAATCTTCAGAAGTTATACTTAAAGACTGTAGTTGTAATACGTATTGGCATGAATTTTCAAGAAAGGTAACTCTTGCCTCCTTATAAGTACACATTATGGAGCACAGTGAAACACATTGTGTCAAGAATGTTTCAAGAGTGACAACTCTTTCTTCTTTATCAGGATACCCTGAGGAAGCATGTGAAATTCTGTCACCCTCCTGAGGGGGATGAGGTGGAGGAATTCCAGTGTGAACATTGTGACAGGAAGTTCTACAATAAAGGGCATCTAAAGAGACACATGGTCAAACACACAGGTATGTCACGGTCAAACATACAGATAATCAAAGGTCATGGATAAGTTTTGATTATACATTCAGGTTAAAGTTTGGGTATCTTAAACACTTGAGATCTTGAATTTAGTGAATATGTTGAAGTGATTTGGAAGTCTCAACCCATTATTCTTTAAGTATTTTAGCCTTTATATCTCAAACCTCTCAAACCATCAGCTATCTCAAAGTTTTTATTATGCCCCGCCATGAAAACGGCCGGGGCATATAGTGTTTGTCATGTCCGTCTTCCTTCCTTCTGTCCTTCCATCCTTCCGTCACACTTTGCGTTTAGCTCTGTTCAAAGCTAAGTTTCAAAAAAACTATCCAAGATATTTTCGTCAAACTTCACAGGCTAATAAACATTGATGAGAGCTATGCAACTGCATCAACATTTTTTCTACCTTGACGTTTCCTTTGACCTTGACCCCACTTTTCTTAAATTAATTAAATTAAATTTCTTAAATTGCTCAGTTTTAAACATACCATTCAAGATGGTGTTATCAAACTTCACATGTTGATACAAACTTGCATGGATGATGCATCTCAGGATGAACATTACCAGACTTGCTTCCCATGCTGGATCTGACCAACATTTTCCAGATGAGTGCCAAGGTTAAAGTTTTTGGAGCAGGTCCATTCCTAAGGAACTATAAGCCCTACCTGAACCAAACTTGCATGGGTAATGCATCTAGGAATGGACACTACCAGACTTGCTTCGGATGCTGGATCTGACCTATATTTTGATTCCCAAGTAACTATAAACCCAACCTGAACCGAACTTGCATGGATGTTGCATCTAGGGATGGACACTACCAGACTTGCTTCGGATGCTGGATCTGACCTACATTTTGATTCCCAAGTAACTATAAACCCTATCTGAACCAAACTTGCATGGATGATGCATCTAGGGATGGACACTACCAGACTTGCTTAGGATGCTGGATCTGACCTTTATTTTGATTCCTAAGTAACTATAAGCCCTACCTGAACCAAATTTGCATGGATGATGCATCTAGGAATGGACACTACCAGACTTGCTTAGGATGCTGGATCTGACCTATATTTTGATTCCCAAGTAAGTATAAGCCCTACCTGAACCAAACTTGCATGGATGATGCATCTAGGGATGGACACTACCAGACTTGCTTAGGATGCTGTATCTGACCTATATTTTGATTCCGAAGTAACTGTAAGTCCTACCTGAACCAAACTTGCATGGATGATGCATCTAAGGATGGACACTTCCAGACTTGCTTCAGATACTGGATCTGACCTATATTTTGATTCTCAAGTAACTATAAGCCCTACCTGAACCAAACTTGCATGGGTGATGCATCTAGGGATGGACGCTACCAGACTTGCTTCAGATGCTGGAACTGACCTATATTTTGATTCCCAAGTAACTATAAGCCGTACCAGAACCAAACTTGCATGTATGATGCATCTAGGGATGGACGCTACCAGACTTGCTTCAGATGCTGGATCTAACCTATATTTTCATTCCCAAATAACTATAAGCCCTACCTGGACCAAACTTGCATGGATGATTCATCTAGGGATGGACATTACCAGACTTGCTTCGGATGCTGGATCTGACCTTTAATTTTCAAACAAGCAATTCACCTGCATCACCATTCAAGATATTCTGATCAATTTTACACACATAAAAATTTTTATGTTGCTTTACTAATATATCCTCGGCGGGGCATTCATGTCCTATGGACATATTTCTAGTTCCTGGTCTCGTTGGGATCGAGATAACAAGGTTTGACTGTATATTGATTTTCTAATTAACAAACTGTTGATCATTATAGGAGAAAGGCCATTTGTTTGTCCACATTGTCAGAAAGGATTTGGAGAGAAGAAGAGTTTGGAAAATCACATCAGAATACACACAGGTTTACAGTATTTAATATAGAATCTGTATGATATATTCTTCTATACAGGGGTCCTTTTGTATGTTTGTAATGCATGTCAAATAATTTGAAATGAGTGCATTCTTACAAGTATTTTCATGATTTCCTTCAAGCTATTGGAATAAAATTTATCTAAACTTGCATAAAAAGTATTTCAGACCTTTCTGAGATTTAATCAGGAGATTTTGCTTTATGATACAGGTGAGCGACCGTACGAATGTCAGGATTGTGGAAAACGCTTCATTCAGCTCTCTCATCTCAGACGTCATAAATATCTCCACACTCAGGTTAGATGGAAATTCTACTTATTATAAAACATATGAAATATCCAGGAGGTATCCACTTTTTCAATTTTCTATAATCTACATGTGAAATGTCTGTTGTGTATTTGAAAATCCAGTAAGATTTGATAGTTTTGAGATTTTGAAATTTTTCCCGAACAATTTTTTGCCTGAAATATGGAGATAATCATGATTTCAAGCTCAACATCCTTTTAAACAATACAATACTTATATTGCCTTTTCTTTCTTAAAAAAAATTCTGATGTTCCTACATATAAGAATATAGAAGATTGATTTTTAGTGCAATTATTTTTCACAGAATTCCAGTTCACATGTATGTTATATCCCAATAAATCTTGGTTTTAAGAGAATTCGATGGGGACTTTATTTCTTAAATGATTTTAAATTTACATTTTCTACATATAAAAGATATAAACTCTCTGCATTATATTAAAAATTATATTTTTTATCCACTTCATCAGATTCGTAATGAGGTTTGTAAGGAGTGCGGTAAGCGGTTCTTTGAGAAGGCTGACCTACAGAAGCACAGCCGAGTCCACAGTAAAGAGAGGCCATTCAAGTGTGACCTGTGTCCCATGTCATTCACACAGCAGAACATCCTCAAGTGTCACCGCCGACGACATACCGGGGAAAAACCCTACGTCTGTGACATCTGTGATCGGGCATTCACTCAGGTGAGGAAGTCATTGACGCCGGATATATTTTTTGTGATTTGAGTAAATTAATTACAGCCTTTTGTGGTCTCAGTATCTTTGTTTTCTTGGTTGAGCCAGACCAGAAAATAACTTGATGAATGAAAAATTCACACTGTATTTTACTTTGATCCAATTACATGTAAAAACAGTTGCTGTCCCTAAATTACATTTTATTAATGATAAATATTTTTTTAGTTTTTTCCTGAATCACAAATTTTATCCCAACAAAGAAATAATAAAATGACAGTTATTCAATGTAAAAAATGTGTTGGAAGATTTTTTTATTAGCAAATTTCTTCATTAAAATATCAATTATTAGTCTAAAATTGGCTGTAAGTCTAATATCACCTTTAAGACTTAAAGTAGCTGTAAGTTTTACATAAGTTATGAGTCTGTACCAGTTATAAATCTGATTTGAGCTACAAGTCATTCCAGTTGTTTTCTATTTTAGATGGGAGCTATGCAGTGTCACCGTCGTCTTCACACAGGAGAGCGTCCCTATAAATGTAAATACTGTGGTCTGGGCTTCGTCAGTAAGGAGAGGATGAAGTTCCACACATACTCCCACACCGGGCAGAATCCTCACATCTGTCACATCTGTGGTAAAGGTAAGGAACTCCCACACAGGACAGAATCCACACATCTGTCACATCTGTGGTAAAGGTAAGGAACTCCCACACAGGACAGAATCCGCACATATGTCACATCTGTGGTAAAGGTAAGGAACTCCCACACAGGACAGAATCCGCACATATGTCACATCTGTGGCAGGCTTGGGGTCAATTACTTTGAAATGTAATTAATTACTTTCAAATACATTGATAATTTTGTCAATTACTTGCAATTACAATTACATTGATTTTTTCAAATGTAATTAATTACTTTCAATTACTTTGACAAATGTAATTAAATACATTTCAATTACTTCAAGGTTTTTTTAAATAATATTTTTTTCTATAGCGATCGAATTCGAACTTTCATTCAGTGTTTTTGTTCTTGGGTATGATAGGGGTTCACACCTGGTCAAAATTAGACCTTATAATGAGTGTGACACACTATATATAAACAAATTAAACATTATGAGACAATTAATTATTGTACAAACACAAGCCCATGCTACACCAGTATGGTGTAATGAAAGATCTTTTTTGTTATTTTCTCAAATCCATATTTTTGAAGGAAATAAATATATCTTTCACGATTCCATTCATTATTTTCTATCTTAAAATGAATAGAATACAGGTAAATCTAAAAGGGGATGTAGTTAGTGTAAGACAAATTAACTATCTAAACAATCATTGTTATTTGCAAGTGGGAATTTTGAGAACTGAGATTTATAAAACATGGGAATATTTTAGTTAAATAAACCCACCAGTATAAAACTATTTATCAGTAAAAGACACCTTTTTAAATATAAACTTTCATTTTGAAAAAAAAGTAATTGAAATGTAATTGAAAAGTAATTTAAAATACATGACCTTTTTTGAAATGTATTTAAATACATTCAATTACTTGTAATTGAAGGCTCGCTAAAATACAAATTACTTCCAATTACTTTAAAAAATGTAATTAATTACACTCAATTACAATTACTTTATTCAATTACCCCATCCCTGATCTGTGGTAAAGGTAAGGAACTCCCACACAGGACAGAATCCGCACATATGTCACATCTGTGGTAAAGGTAAGGAACTCCCACACTGGACAGAATCCGCACATCTGTCACATCTGTGGTAAAGGTAAGGAACACACACACCGGACAGAATCCACACATCTGTCACATCTGTGGTAAAAGTAAGGAACTCCCACACAGGACAGAATCCGCACATATGTCACATCTGTGGTAAAGGTAAGGAACTCCCACACAGGACAGAATCCCCACATCTGTCACATCTGTGGTAAAGGTAAGGAACTCCCACACAGGACAGAATCCGCACATATGTCACATCTGTGGTAAAGGTAAGGAACTCCCACACAGGACAGAATCCGCACATATGTCACATCTGTGGTAAAGGTAAGGAACTCCCACACTGGACAGAATCCGCACATCTGTCACATCTGTGGTAAAGGTAAGGAACACACACACCGGACAGAATCCACACATCTGTCACATCTGTGGTAAAGGTAAGGAACACACACACCGGACAGAATCCCCACATCTGTCACATCTGTGGTAAAGGTAAGGAACTCCCACACAGGACAGAATCCACACATCTGTCACATCTGTGGTAAAGGTAAGGAACTCCCACACCGGACAGAATCCACACATCTGTCACATCTGTGGTAAAGGTAAGGAACTCCCACACTGGACAGAATCCACACATCTGTCACATCTGTGGTAAAGGTAAGGAACTCCCACACCGGACAGAATCCACACATCTGTCACATCTGTGGTAAAGGTAAGGAACTCCCACACTGGACAGAATCCCCACATCTGTCACATCTGTGGTAAAGGTAAGGAACTCCCACACTGGACAGAATCCACACATCTGTCATATATGTGGTAAAGGTAAGGAACTCCCACACTGGACAGAATCCACACATCTGTCATATCTGTGGTAAAGGTAAGGAACTCCCACACCGGACAGAATCCACAAATCTGTCACATCTGTGGTAAAGGTAAGGAACTCCCACACCGGACAGAATCCACACATCTGTCACATCTGTGGTAAAGGTAAGGAACTCCCACACTGGACAGAATCCACACATCTGTGGTAAAGGTAAGGAACTTCCACACCGGACAGAATCCACACATCTGTCACATCTGTGGTAAAGGTAAGGAACTCCCACACCGGACAGAATCCACACATCTGTCACATCTGTGGTAAAGGTAAGGAACTCCCACACCGGACAGAATCCACACATCTGTCACATCTGTGGTAAAGGTAAGGAACTCTCACACTGGACAGAATCCACACATCTGTGGTAAAGGTAAGGAACTCCCACACCGGACAGAATCCACACATCTGTCACATCTGTGGGAAAGGTAAGGAACTCCCACACCGGACAGAATCTACACATCTGTCACATCCAGGGTTCTCCATCATTTGAAATGTTACTGTGTTGCAGAGTTAACGCGAAGAACTAAAATTTCGCGGTATTTTCGCGATCAAATTCGCAACTAAATCACTATTTATGAAAATTACAAAAGAATACATGCACATACCTATTTAAAAATGGCTAATTAGTTACACAAATGGTATGCATGGTCGCACACATTGATAAAAGTAAAAACACGTCCTGAAAAGCAGAGGAAATTCTGACCGATACAGTCGTACTATTTAACATTTTTGGAAGTAAATTTGCCGAGATTATTTATTAGTTTTCTTGATCGAGTTATTACATTACAAAAAAAAAAAAAAAGAAACTTCAGAACAATAAAATAAATTTTAAGCAATTTATTTACATCAATTAAATGACTTCGATACGATGTTCTGTCTGACTTAGATTGCTCAAATAATTTTGGAGCCGTGGTTCTATAGAAAAGACATATTTAATTTTTTTTTAAATAATGCAATGTATTTTATTGCAACTACCAATTAACCCTTATATGGAAGGCTGAAAACAAATTATTTGTCTTTGTTCCGTCATGCGTAAAGTCCAGAGAGGGTCTGGGAGATAATTGATTATGCAAGGTGAAGCCTTAGTGTTTAAGTGCTCTAACAGTAACTTTATAATTGAAAGACGATATAATTGTTCAATTAAAGTCTCAGTTAGAGGGAATATGTGTGTTAAAATTTTCTTATTATCATATATCTTACTATGTCGGCAAAATTTTTACTGTGTTGCATTGCATGCAGTTTGAATTGTTACTGTGTCGGAGAAAATTTTACTGTGTCGGGAGCAACACAGTAAAACAGCTCATGGAGAACCCTGCACATCTGTGGTAAAGGTAAGGAAGACCTGTATCAGCCACAGTCCATTTCATTGGAATATTCTCAATTTTCTTATGTCAAAGAGCTCTTTGATTGTCATCTAGTGATTGGCTAGGCAAAATCGCCACTTTGACCAAATGTGTTAGTGGATGCATCTGCAATAGAAAAAATCTTCAGATGTTTTGAAATTGTTTTTCATGTTTGATGCCATTAAAGCCCTTCAGGCTTTTTGATTTTCAGACAGTGTGTCTTTTTGAAGTAGGGTCTTTCCTACTTTGTTGTGTCTAAATGATATTAAAAAAAAACATTGTTATAAATACATTTAAAATGAATTGATAAAATTAGGACATGGAATATATTATACCCAAGCAGAGTTTTTTCTCAATTCTTTAAGTTCGGAATCACCTACCCGGTATACAGTCACGATAGGATTCACACTTATACATATTTTCTTTACAGGATTCCGCCTGAAGTTCAAGCTTCAGAGTCACCTGGACAATCACGACGGAATCTACAGACATCAGTGTGACTATTGTAGTAAGGGCTTCCTAGAGAAAGCCAAGCTTAACAGGCACATCAAACAGATCCACATGCAGGAACCAGTCAGGACCAAGATAGTGTCCCTGTAAGTAATACATTAATGTTGGATATGTGAAATCTGGGAAATAAAATATGGAAATGTGATCAGATTTGTGGCATGAAACAAATAATTGTTTGTGTGACAGAACTAGGTAATAGAAGTTCTCGATGTTACAGAGCATTTTGACTTTGCCCAAACTTTTGACAGGAAGCATAACTCCAGCTCCTTTGTTCAGTGGTCCAAATTGATCAATGTATTTAATAGTCGAGGCCGTTATTCTTGTAAATGAAGAAAAATACTTTATTCTTATTTACATGTAAGTGCAAAATATGTTAAAAAAATAATTATATCAGGAAAAAAGTAAACCATAGATATAATTTATGCCTGATAGAGGTAATATGTCAAGAAAGATAACTCTGCCCATTTTATTAACAAAAGCTGTTTATGAAAAATAGGTTAAAAATGTACATTTTCAGTGCTCCAAGTTGCGACTAAAATGGTCGCATTTGCGACCAAAAAATTGATTTTGCGACTAAAAATGAAAACACACTCGCATTTTCGCGACTGAGAAAATTTGGGCTGGAAACGTCCATTTTTAAGATCGGGATCGAGATTTTATTTGTAAAGATTCTCTATCAAGAAAATGTTTGAAGACATATACTTAAATACACTTCACAAAGCGTCACATGGACTTCGATCACGTAATGTTAAGTTTGATAAAACCAGAGACGTGTATAAATAATGTTCCGGATAGAATGGCATCCAAACTTCGTAAACTTTCTAGGATCCGACCTTGTTACTGAAGCATTTGGTCAATTGCTTGCATATCACATTGAATCATGCTAATAAAGAGTGTTTTGGCGGCATTTATAATGACTGTGTAATGGGTTAGGTACGTAGTAGTAAGTAAACATGACAAACAGCAGGCAAAGTCCTGTCTCAACAGCTGTCAAGCTTGTATTTTCATTTGATGAAATTTTATTTCTGTACTCAGATTACTTGTGTTCTTCTGTTCAACCATGAGGGTAAATGTATTCAATAAAAATATTTCATTCAACCTAGCAAATTTTTATAGTCGCAGTAATAAGTAATCTTTGATGTAATAAAGACATAATACATATCCTCATTTAAATTATCATGTTTTATTCACAAAATGTATTTATTTTTTTTATGGAGAGTGAAATATTTGATTTTGGCGACCAGAAATTCTGAAATGGCGACCAAAAAAAATTTTAGGTGGCCATTTTGCGACCTAAGAGCAAGTGTGACTTGGAGCACTGATTTTTGAAATGCATTATCAATAATTTTGATGTTTCAGTGATGGTCCCAACATTCAGACTATAGAGGAAGACGGCGTTATCACGGTGATCCACACCCCCGCCTCCAGCGTCAACGACAACAACATTGTACAGTACATCCCAGTGTCTACCGCCGACAATCCACAGGAGGGGGTGACGGAGGAAGTCGTCGAGACCCACGTCACGATTCCGTTTGAGATTAACAACGAGGGACAGCCCAGCGAGACTAATTCCGCCGTGTCTACGATCCAGTTCGAGGCCGACGGAGAGGCCGCCCAGGCTACGGCGGCGAATCTGGCGGCGTTGTATTCAGGGGAAGCCACACACATCACGATGCCCTCGGACAGTATAATTTACCAGGGGGACGAGAATGGAGAAGAGGTTGTGTATGTTGTCATACCGGAAGATAATCAAACTGTTATACTGTCATAAGGAGGCATTATTGTAGTAAAGGGGAACTATTATTAATTAATGAAATTCGAAACATTAAAATTTTTAATGGGAAAAATGTAGCTATTTTTAACAATAAGAAATATCATTATTATGAAAAATGTACCTTATATGGGGGTCTATAAACAGCAAAAAATATTTGGTTGTACATGTACATTGTAATTGGTTTATTGATTTTGCAACTTAATCAAGAAAAAAAAATTACGTTTGTATTTTAATCAGTAAACATTTGCAGTGAATTAAGGACAACAAATTGTTTAACAGTGATGTAAATAAAGATATTAAAATCTTAATTTCCTTTGTTTGAGCAAACACATCAGTGCTAGCTCATATTTGTCTCTGTGTTTAGGTTTCAAATTGAACAGATACTTTGTACCTTTAAAATATGACCCTGACCTTTTAAACGCTTTAAAAATGGATGAAACATGCGATGTTAACAATGAAAACATAAATCAAGATAGAGCTCATTGTTTCACTATGAACTTGCACTTTACTTGTTTGGCAAAGATTTAGCTTTTGTTTTCATTTTTTCTGCTTTTAGATTAAAAAAGCAATCCTTCTTGATTTTTTTTGTCATTGTCGACTAACTAAATGGCGACAGTGCTTGTGTAGGGTTGAACATCTATTCTGAAACATAAAATTAAGTCGCACAGAAATTCAGTTTAAAAATTTCTAGCGAAAAAGAACAGAATTAACCTGAAAAATAAAAATAAAGCAAACAACATTTGTTAATTACAAATTAAGAGAAAAACACTGGCAAAAACAAAATTTTTAAAATATTTTTTTAGTACAGACATAGTTTTGAAAAAACTCAGATGAAATTAAACATTTCCTTCTGGATGTAAATTTTTGTGATGATTAAACAGAATGGAACATTGGTCGGAAAAGTTTTTATTCAAATAAAACATAATTTTATGATTTCCATCATTTAACATTTTTATTATATTTAGACCACTGAATTTATAATTTAGTAAAATCCATAATAAAATTCAAGTTATGAAAGGCTTTTTTTTTGTATAATTGTTTATTCTTTATGCAGATTTACATCGTAAAATTAAAAATAAGAATTGAAGTCCATGTCGGCCACAAGTTAGCACTTTTCCCATACCGCGATACTGTGAGACTCTCCAATTTAAGAGGAAGATAAGACTTCCTGTTATAAAATAGACTACACGTTAAACGATGCAAGCTGGAGAAATAAATTGACACTAAAAAGTTAGACCAAAGTTTGGTTTATGAATATCATTTGAAGAAAGAGTAAAAAAAAAATGGAATTACATTTTTTAAACAAAAGTTTTAAGTACCGGGATATAATGAGACACCAGTATATATACTGACACGCAAAAGAAACGCAACAAGCAGTACTCTACAAATGTTTGATTTTTTTATCTAATGAATTTTAAAAAAGAATACAGTAAAACTAAACTCACTTTTCAGAACATCAGAGATTAGATAAAAATGTTATATTTTATCTTTTAACTTTACTAAGTAACATATGATTTTTAACCCCCCCCCCCCATTTATTACAACGTTCAAGACTGCCCTAACAACATTAGGAGCTTAATTTCTACGATGCAATAGGTTAATCAATATCGAGATCAGAGCGAATGAATTATTCTTTTCCATTTTCAAATACCTACTTTTCAGATGATTGGGTCGAATTTTCTCTTACTTAGCACATTGTAGTAACCATTTGACTTCCGGTCCAAGGACTATCATTAGGCCTAATGAATATAATACGTAAGACCCCGTTGAGGCGTAATGTAGTGTATTTTTTCATTATCACTTCTCCATAACCTTTACTTTGAGATATTCCAGATAGAGCAATTGAAATGCGTACTTAATCCATTTTCAAGAAGCCTTAGCATCGTTACTGGAAACGGAAGATTTTATTTTTTGAAATATTGCTGCATTACTTAAGATGTATAGTACAAACCCTTAAAACTCCATAATATTGCCAAATGTTTTGTTAAACATGTAATTTTTGATTTCTGTTAAGCAGACTCAAATTTGACTTCCGGTTATGGTATGAAGATCGTTCAACCGTTCAATTACCGATATTTACCAAAATAAAGATGTCCTTATTTTTAAGATACAATTTTTTTTACTTCACATAATTATTTCACCCTAAAGAAGGGTGTTGCGTTTCTTTTGCGTGTCAGTATAACTTATTGAATATTTTGTTATCGTGCATGGCTAGGTTCTGATATTTTGAAAAAAAAGAAATTCTTCAGTGTTTTGTTTGCTTAAAAATATCGACTTATTTCCAAAATAATGGCTTTATTTAAGCATTGATTTCATATTTTTGGCTGTCTTCGGTCCTATAACACACCTGGCAGTGCCGACAAATTGAATATGATAAATTTGTCGGAACGGCCAGGTGTGTTTCAATGCTTATATTTACATTCTAATTTTCCTGTTTCATAATTATTGCCTTCGTTAATGTTTTATGTGAGTTTAGCGCCCTTCAAAACTGACGTGGTTAATAGACGTAAAGGCGTTTGTGACGTCAGATGACATTGCAAAGTTAAATAACGCAAACAAACATTGCGAGGAAAAAAAGTAAATTAATTTTTAACGCACATTTGTAGTAATTTTACGTTAATTTAACAAGATGATAGTTTCTGATTAAATTGAATCAGCACATTGTACGTTTTGGTGTTCCTAGATTATAGAAAATGCATTTAGTTCCTACTGTGTATTCTAACGCCTGGAGACAAGGTTTTGCGTGTGTTATAGAAATTTGAATGTCGTGGATTTCTAATGAATTTCATAAGGAAAAATACACGGAGTGTAAATATTATTGAAATAACGACCACTACAGGTATTCTCACATAATCCGTCCACATGTAGCATGACTTTCATTAAAAATATTTACATTCAGTGTCATTTTCTTTATGAAATCCAATAGAAATTCATGACGTTCAAATCTCTATAACACACGCGAAACCTTGTCACCACACGTTAGAATACACAGTAGGAACTATATGCATTTTCAATACTTTATGAACACCAAAATGTACATTGTTTGACACAATTTAATTTTAAAAAATTAACCTTGTTAAATTAAAGCAAAAATACAACAAATGTGCATTTAAAATTAGTTTGTCACTTTTTTTCCTCGCAATGTGCGTTTGCGTTATTTAACTTTACGACGTTACAAACCTCACAAACAGCTCTTACGTCGATCTATAAAGCACACCAGGTTTGAAGGGCGCTAAATTCACATTTATACAATTATGGAATGTTTAGAAGGGAGACAACACCAATTATCAGGTCTCAGTATGGTTGTCACCTGAAGGCGCTTGCGCCCGAGGGTGACAAACCTACTGAGACCTGATAATTGGTGATGATTGATTGCTTGTATATTGTTTAACGTCCCGCTTGAGAATTTTTCACTCATATGGAGACGTCACCGTATGCCGGTGAAGGGCTTCAAATTTAGACCTATACTCGGCACTCAGGGCCATTGAGCAGTGAGGGTTCTTTATCGTCCCAGCGCCTACCGTGACACGGGACCTACGTTTTTAAGGTCATATCCGAAAGACCCGTGACATTCACTTCTGATGCCGAGCGCTTGGCGAAATAACAGTCGCTACCTATTTTTACGTCTTAGGTTTGACGCGGCGCCGGGAACGAGAATCGAACCCGGGCCTCCCGATCACGAAGCGAACGCTCTACCACTAGGCTACCGTGAACGGTATAATTGGTGATGTCTCCCTTCTGAACAGTCCGTAATAGTTTTATTATCCTGAAGAATATACAATAAGATAGAGTAGAAAATAGTAACCGAACCTCTTATTTTCTTCTACCCTGCTCCGATTCATTACTTTCAAAATGTGTCAACAGACAACTTTGACGTCATCGATAGAATTAAATTCTATCGATGACGTCAAAGTTGTCTGTTGACACATTTTGAAAGTATGGAATCGGAGCAGGGTAGAACAAAATAAGAGGTTCGATTATAAATTTTATTGCTTACCGATCCCACATATTTAGCCATTGTACTTATAAATACATGTAGGAGTTATCTCGCTTAAACCACTGTAGTTTTATTAAAAGAGTGACAACACAGTTGTAACCCTGCATGTTCGCTTACGTTATTTCATTGTCATCTAAAGGGAGATAACAGTTGTCAACCTGCGCGCGAGGGAGACATCACGAGTTGTCTCCCTGCATGTGACCTGCCCTAAACCAATCAGACTGACTGTATAATTCTGAAGGATAATAATAAAGATTACCGAAATAAACAATTATGAATAGGAAAAATTAAAGAATGTAAATATAAGCATACATGTCATATAATAAAAAAAAATCCACAAGAAGACACTGTCTGGAAATTTACAGATAATAATCAAATTTGGAATATATGTAGTCAGTACATGTATATGACATCGCGAATGATCGAACAAAAAAACTTCTCATGCTCATTGATCAATTATATGGCTCTGCAAGAAACGACCATGACATGGAACTTCCACATGTATACGGGTGATTTTCAAAAAAAGTCCACTTTTTTGTCTTTTGATCAGAATAATAGAAAAAACTTTTTTTAGAGTGAATTTTTTTTCCCGTTGGTTAATATACGACATTAGTGTTGGCAACGAGTACCCGGTTAACGGTTAACCGTCGAACGATGCGAGTATCGGTTAGTAAAATTGCTATTCGGTTACTTGGATAAAATGCATCTTATATGATATATAGCTAAAAAATAAAATGCTAATTTGTTTATCAGCGTACAAATAAACATTTCTCTTATTTTATTTACGGTTAGACTTAATGATCTACGGTTTCACTAATACGATTAATTGGTTTTCACACTAAATTGATAGCTTTGATTGCCAAGTCATAATTATCTCATTAAAAAAATTAACAAGATGCCGCCAAGGACGTCTATACATGTAGCTTGGAAGTATTTTAAAAGAACAGCTGATTCCATACCTGTAAAATGTAATTAATATGAATTGGAGTTATCGTGACTTCAAATTTCTAAATAATTATCTTGCTTGTTCTTGACATATATCGGGGGTTGAAAAGTAAAATTGATGAACGCCATTGTAAAATAGTGTGAAACATTGAAAATTTATTTTTCTTCTGATTTAATTAATCTCTTGATTATAATTATATTTAAAATTCAAGATATTGCTTGCGTGTTCTTTTTAAGTTTATAAATAAAGTTAATTCACAATACCTTTGTGTTATTTTAAAAGATGAGATGATTAGAAGATGAGATAAATGATACATATGAATAAATCATCCGAGTAACCGGGTACTCGATCGGAAGGTTGAGCGA